GATGGGCTTCTGAGGTCAATATGGCCCCAGGATGTCCCAACAGAGCCCCGGGAGGGGCCCAAGAGGTACCCTAGACTGGCCCAAAGAGCGCCCAAGAGCGCCCCAAGAAGCGATGTTCATGGCCCAAGAGGGGGGAGGCAAATTTGAGACCGCTCCGCTTTTGACCGACGCCCTACAAGATTGCCCCAAGAGGCCTGTCAGGGCTGCCAAACGCGGCTTCAATAATCCTCATCTTCGTCCTTAGGGGAACAAGAAGTGACATTATCTCGGCAAAGCAACCTAACAGCGATGTGGATAAGCATATCTGGAAGCATTCCCCTTAAGATTCAGGTGAGAATCCAGTTGTAGAATTCTGCTGTTCTCCCAGTCGCCGTCGCATTCGCAATGACAGTCGCAGTGGCAACGGCCTTAGGACCCAATGGAATCCTAAGGATTCCTAGGGATTCCTAAGGCATCCTTAGGCATCCTTAGGAATCCATAGGAATCCGTAGGAAACCTTAGGAATCCTTAGGAATCCTGATTCCTACGGATTCCTAGGGATTCCTAAGGATCCCTAGGGAATCCTAAGGATTCCGAAGGATTCGCCTGCTTCTGCCTCAGCCTCAGCCTGCCTCAGCCTCAGCCTGCCTCAGCCTCAGCCTCAGCCTCAGCCTGTCTCAGCCTCAGCCTGCCTCAGCATCAGCCTCAGCCTCAGCCTGCCTCGGCTTGCCTCGGCCTCAGCCTCAGCCTCAGCCTGCTTCAGCCTCAACCTCAGCCTGCCTCAGCCTCAGCCTGCATCAGCCTCAGCCTCAGCCTGCCTCAGCCGCAGCTTCAGCCTCAGCCTCAGCCGCAGCTTCAGCCTTCAGCCTGCCTCAGCTTCAGCCTCAGCCCAGCCTGCCTCGGCTTGCCTCAGCCTCAGCCTCAGCCTGCCTCGGCTTCAGCCTCGGCCTCAGCCTGCCTCAGCCTCAGCCTCAGCCTCTCAGCCTCAGCCTGCATCAGCCTCAGCCTCAGCCTCAGCCTGCATCAGCCTCAGCCTCAGCCTGCCTCAGCCTCAGCCTGCATCAGCCTCAGCCTCAGCCTGCCTCAGCCGCAGCTTGCAGCGTCAGCCACTGCCTCAGCCTCAGCCTCAGCCTGCCTCAGCTTCAGCCTCAGCCGCAGCCTGCCTCGGCTTGCCTCAGCCTCTGCCTCAGCCTGCCTCGGCCTCAGCCTCAGCCTCAGCCTGCCTCAGCCTCAGCGTCAGCCTCTCAGCCTCAGCCTGCATCGGCTTCAGCCTCAGCCTCAGCCTGCCTCAGCCTCAGTCTCAGCCTGCCTCAGCGTCAGCCTGCCTCAGCCTCCTGAGCCTGTATCGGCCTCAGCCTCAGCCTGCTTCAGCCTCAGCCTGCCTCAGCCTCAGCCTCAGCCTGCTTCAGCCTCAGCCTGCCTCAGCATCAGCCTCAGCCTCAGCCTCAGCTTCAGCCTGCCTCGGCTTCAGCCTCGGTCTCAGCCTCAGCCTGCCTCGGCCTTAGCCTCAGCCTCAGCCTGCCTCAGCCTCAGCCTCAGCCTGCCTCAGCCTCAGCCTCAGCCTGCATCAGCCTCAGCCTGCATCAGCCTCAGCCTCAGCCTCAGCCTCAGCCTCAGCTTCAGTCTCAGCCTGCCTCAGCCTCAGCCTGCCTCAGCCTCAACTTCAGCCTGCCTCGGCCTCAGCCTGCGTCAGCCTCAGCCTCAGCCTGCCTCAGCCTCAGCCTGCCTCAGCCTCAGCCTCAGCCTGCTTCGGCGTGCCTCAGCCTCAGCGTCAGCCTGCCTCGGCCCCAGCCTGCCTCGGCCTCAGCCTGCCTCAGCTCGGGCATTCAAAATATGGCACAGGACTTGTGTTCTGGGAAAACGAAAAACACGAAGTGGCCCACAGTTGTCTCCGGGCAGAGGAATGGTTTTCCGGGAGCACGAAGAACACGAAGTGGCCTACAGTTGGCTCCGGGCATTGAAAATGTGGCCTGGGAATGGTGTTCCGGGAGCACGAAGAACACGAAAGGGCCTACAGGTGGCTCCGGGCATTCAGAATGCGGCGTGGGAGTGGTGTTCTGGGAACACGAAGAAGACGAAGTGGCCTACAAGTGGCTCTGGGCATTCAAAATGTGGCCCGGGAATGGTGTTCTGGGAAGACGAAGAACACGAAGTGGCCTACAGTTGGCGCCGGGCATTCAAAATGTGGCCTGGGAACGGTGTTCTGGGAAAACGAAAAACACGAAGTGGCCCACAGTTGTCTCCGGGCATTCAAAATGCGGTCTGGGAATGGTGTTCTGGGAATGGATTCCTAAGGATTCCTAAGAATTCGCAAAGATTCCTAAAGATTCCTGGGGCTGCCGGATTTGTCCGGTTTTGTCCGGATCCCGCCCAGACCCCCCTCGGGCGTCAAGATGCTCTCTTTTGAAACAACTAGAAGCCTATCAGCAAAAGCTGTTAGGAAATAAGCATAAAAACTCAGAGGTCCGCGCGGATTTCTCGGATCGGCGCTGGACCCCCCTGGCGGCGCCGCCGGCGCCGCCCCTGGCGCGCTCCGCGCGCCAGGGCAGGGGGTCCAGCGCGGACCCGAAAAATCCGCGCGGACCTCCGAGTTGTTATGTTTATGTCACTTTCTGTTCCCCTAGTCCTACTCATCCTCTTCCCCCCCCCCTTCGTTCCACCCTCTCTCCCTAGGATGGCTCCAGCCAGGACGCCTCAACGAGGCTCCTAAGACAGCTTGGGCTTGCCTGGGCACAGGCTCTGGATGCAATGGACGCGATACTGGAGTGGATCTCCCGTCGAGGGTTATGTTGCTCCCATCGTACCTAAGAACCACATCCCGAAACCCAGAAAAGTGTCGAAAGAGTGTCGAAATAGTGTCGAAACAGTGTCGGGCGAGTGTCTCCCAGAGCCCGACACGTGAAAACCTCAGAGTTTCAGTACTTTTTTGTGCGCTCGAAATTATTTCTGATGGTCAAGGCTAAAGTAGGTTGGGACATCATAAGTCGAAGGTAAGATTCGGTTCCCCAGATATGCTCATAAGGGGTCTGAGGTCTGTTACCCAGACGTCCTCGAGTCGTGATAAGACATTGCAGCTGCAGGTTCTCGGCCGCTTCTCGGCCGCTGTCGGCATCCAGGGGGGCCCTCGCTGGGCCCCGAGGCCCGTCCAAAACGACTGGGGGTGACAAGCCGGCTCTGGGGAACGGATCGGCGGGACTTCTGGGGCCCCCGTGTTGAGAACATCAGGACGTCGGATGTTCCCAGAGATCCGAGACCCTGTCGGCGTCTGTGAGGGGCTTGTCTGTTCGAGTCGTCGTCTCCGGCAGTCGTCGTCTCCGGCGTTCCAGTTCCCTGCACCCTCCTCTCCTCAAGCTTGTCGGCGAGAGAGCTATGCAGCAGTGTCGTAATCGAGTCGATGCTCCCAAAATTCCGCTGTCCTCCCCTGTTCCAAGGACTCCCCACTTCGCGCTTCGCGCTGCGTGAAGCGCGAAGTCCGAATAACTTCGGGCTCTCGCGCCGCCTCCCAGGGGAGAAGAGGAGGATGCGAAGGAATCGGAACCGAACCACGAAGCGCGAATAACTTCGCGCCTTCGAGGGCGCCCTTGGAATCGATGCTCCCAAAAATCCGATGTCCTGACCTGTTCTGTGCGGGGCCCCTGCAGGCCTCCACCCCGTCCCCGGGAACCGGCTCTTTTCCCATCCCGAGCCGTGGCCAGACGGCCCCCAGAAGGGCCTCCAGAGGCCGAGGACGGCGAAAAACGTCCGTTCCCAGACCCCCTCGACATGCTTTTTGTGTTTTGTAATATTACACATATGTTTCTGACTATATATATATATATATACACATACAGATATATATATATATATATATGTGCAAACAAAAAACGGAAGGTTTTTCACCGTTTTCGGCCTCAGGGGGCCCTTACCGGCTCTCGGAACCTTCAAAAAACGGCTCAGGATGAAAAACCGGTCATGGGGAATGGGTCGAGACCTCTAGGGGTCGACGTTGTGAAAAAAATCATGACGTCGTGGGTCTGGGTTTCGATTTGTTCAATGCCTTGAATCTCTTCTGGCGGCGCGCAAAAGGGGGTAGGGGGAGGGGGGAAGGCTTCTAAGAAGGAGCCGGCTTCTTAGAAGGCGCAGGCCTCGCATCTACAGACAAGGCCCGCGCATTCTGAGAAGCAGGGGTGCTTCTAAGAAGTCTTCCCCCCTCCCCCTACCCTGACGCCCAACTTCATGAAGTCTCCATGACGTCGACCCCCAGAGGTCTCGACCCTCCCCAAGACCGGTTCTACATCCCGGGTCTGTTCTTTTGACGGTCCGAGGCCCGGCAGGGGCCCCCAGAGGCTTGAAATAGCGAGAAACTCCCCGTCGTGATTTGTTCATGGCCCGAGGGGGTCCGGTGTACTCCTCTCTGCGCGCGGCCAGCTCTTTTCAGCAGGGACCGTCGCGGCATTCCTATAGGCCTACAACGAAATTCTCTTAGAGCCCAAAGATGTTCGAAAAACAAAAACAAGGTTCTTGGAGCATCAACCCGATGTACTAAACCAAGACAGCATCAGCCAGAAATGTTTTAGAACATCTCGTGCAAACCACGCCATGTTCCCAGAACATTATTTGATAGTAGGCCTACATAATTAGGAAAGCCAGGGCGTTTCGCCACTGCTTGACTTGGCGGCGAGCGGGGCAGGGAAGTGAGAAGGAGAAGGCCTTCTCAGAAGCGCCCCCGCCTTCAGATAAGCTTTTTCTGCGTCTTCGGGAAAGGTTCGGAAAATTTCTCAGAAGGCCAGGGGATTTCCGAGCCTTCTGAGAGGGCACGCCACTTCTCACTCACCCCCCAGTCTCGCCCCCAACGGGTGCCGAAAGGGAGGGAGGGAGGGAGAAGTCACACGTGGAGGACCACATGTGGACCCTGCCGCTTGCAGGTGCCGGTGCCAGAGTCTGGGGAGGGGATCACATCACATGGCGCCAGTGCCGGGGGGTCGTGGTGCCCGCCCCTTCTCGCTTCCCCCCCTCGCTCGCCGCCGATTGACTCTTGGGACCCTGGGCTGGACGGGAGGCTCCCGGCGGTCGAGCTGGGCCGCTCGTGGCTGCCGCCCACGCCCATGGCTGCCGCCGCGGCGGCAGTACGCCGGGCCCCGCGGCAGGGCGCGCCTGGCTGAGGAGGCGCCTCTGGGAGGGGCGGCGAGGGTCCTCGGGCCAGCTCGCGAGGGCGGCCGAGGGCGCGCGCTGGGGCCTAGAGGGGGGGGGGCCTCGACAGGGTAGGGACGCCCTGCGATCCTGGCGTTTCGATTTCACAACGGGCGTTTTCGTTCCTCCTCCTCCTCCTCCTCCTCCTCCTCCTCCCCCTCCTCCTCCCCCTCTTCCTCGTCCTCCTCCTCCTCCTCCTCCTCATCCTCCTCTTCCTCCTCCTCCTCCTCCTCCTCCTCCTCCTCCTCCTCCTCCGCCTCCTCCTCCTCCTCCTCCATTCCTGTTCTTTATGAATAATTTCTCCCTGTCGCACGCCGAGGCCAGTCGAAAGGGCGGGCCGGGCGTTTCGCCTGAGACTTTCTCGCCACTTATGACCCTGAAGCTTAAACATTGACAACAGTTTCACACATGGACGGCGGATGGTCTTCAAAACGTAGCTCTCGCCTTAGCGCCGCGCACTCTCGTGTTAAAATTTCGCAAAAGCTTCACGGACTGAGGGCGGGTGGTTTTCAAGATGTGGTTCTCGCCTCAGCGCCGCGCACATTCGTTTTAGAAATCTGCAAGAACTTAACGGATTGAGGGCGGGTGGTTTTCAAGATGTGGCTCTCGCCAAAGCGCCGCGCACCTTCGGTTTAGTATTTGCACGAGTTTCACGGATGCCCATGGCCAATGTACAAGAAATGGCGTTCTGGAAAGATTCAGGATTATGATGGTACAGCAGTTACGTTGATTTGCGGCGTTAAAGTGCCAGGGGTGGCGTTCTGGCACGATTCAGGATCGTCAAGACGCAACAATCAAATTGATCCGTAGGGTTGGAGTCCCCCAAATATTGTTTTGGCATGCTTCAGGGTCTTCAAACGGTTGTCTTCCAACGAAGCAGTTCCCTCAGTGAAAGTGAACCGTTGCATGAAGTCTATGAAGAAGGAGCTTGGAGGGAGGTGTCATTTCAACACATTTTGGAAACTTTGGGTTTACACTGGTCCTCCTCCTCCTCCTCATCATCCTCCTTCTCCTCCTCCTCCTTCTCCTCCTCTTCCTCCTCCTCCTCCTCCTCCTCCTCCTCCTCCTCCTCCTCCTCCTCCTCCTCCTCCTCTGGGACCCTGACATGCTGGCGTTTCAATGTTTTCACAACGGCCGTTTGCGCTCAATGACCCGCCCCGGGACCCTCGCAGATCGATCCGACTCGAAAAAATACCACAAGAAAGCGGGGCCTAGGGCCCTGGGCGTGATTTCGTTACGATGTTGCATTTGTGTTCGCCACGTCGGATCTCAGGGAAGGCTGCACACGTCGCCGTACCATTCGCTCCGACGCGCAGCCTTCCGTCTTGGCGAGGGGGCCTCGGCCATCAGGGCAAACGCCGCCTCGGGCGCGGAGGTTTTGCCGCGGGTTTGCAGCGGTGCCGGCCTCGTCCACGTGGGCGCGGGACGCAGGGCTTGCCGTGGATTCGCTGCGGTGCCCGAGGCAGGGAAGGCTGTACTATACATGTATATATATATATATACAGGGATGTGTATACATATGTCGCCGCGCCGTGTGCCCTCCACGCGCCCAAGTGGACGACGCCGACGCCACGGCAAACCCACAGCAAACCCACGGCAAGCCCTACGCCCAAGGCGGCGTTTGCCCTGGTGCCCGCGGCGCCCTCCCCAAGATCTACGTAAGGCCGCGCGTCGGAACAAACGGCGTGGCAATATGTATGTGTATGTGTATATATGTATATATAAATGTGTATGTATATATATATATATATGTGTATATATATGTGATACCCCAGAGAAAAACAAACACACATCATATTATTTTTAGGGCTACAGGGCTATAGGGCTATTGGGCTATAGGGTTATGGGGCTATGGGGATATAGGGCTATGGGGCTATAGAGCTATAGGGCTATAGGGCTATAGGTCTATAGGGCTACAGGGCTATAGGGCTGTAGGGCCAAAGGGCTATAGGGCTGTAGTGTTATAGGGCTATAGGGCTATCGGGCTATGGGGCTATAGGGCTATGGGGCTATAGAGCTATAGGGCTATAGGGCTAGGGGTCTGTAGGGCTATAGGGCCATAGGGCAACAGGCCCATAGGGCTATAGGGCTATAGGGCTACAGGGCTATAGGGCTATAGGGCTATAAGGCTATAGGGCTCTAGGACTATAGGGCTATAGGGCTACAAGGCTATAAGGCTACAGGGCTATGGGGCTATTGGGCTATAAGGCTATAGGGCTCTAGGACTATAGGGCTATAGGGTTGTAGGGCTATAGGGCTATAGGGCTATAGGGCTATAGAGCTATGGGGCTATAGGGCTATTGGGCTATAGGGCTATAGGGCTAATGGGCTATAGCGCTATAGGGCTAGGCTGTAGGGCCATAGGGCTACAAGGCTATAGGGCTATATGGCTATAGGACTATAAGGCTATAGAGCTATAGGGCTATTGGGCTATAGGGCTACTGAGCTATAGGGTTATAGGGCTATGTGGCTATAGGGCTATGGTGCTATAGAGCTATAGGGCTATTGGGATATAGGGCTATGGAACTATCAGGCACCCGGGCAACCGGGCACCTGGGCACCCGGGCACCCGGGCGGGCCGCGGAAATCGGTGACAAACCTCACCTAACCATATGAATCCGCTAGGACCCCTACACAGGCAAGCTCTGATTGGGGAATGTATAAATACACTAGAACCATCGCGCGCGCTTCGCGCGCGCTCAGGTTCTAGCAGGCCCCAGGCCTTGACGAATTCATTGCTCCACTGAAGTAGTGGACCACAGTCCCCGCATGCCAATCTGCATTCCGAAAGGCCTTCGAGGAAAATGGTTGTGTATGGGGGCGGAGCCGTATGAATCGGGTTCCCAGAAGGCCTTCTGGGAGCATGGGTTTGGGGGCATCTTGGGGAGCCTGTTGGGGCGTGCCGTCGTCGTCGTCGTCGTCGTCGTCGTCGTCATAGTACTATCGTCGTCGCCTATTGGGGCGCGCCGTCGTCGTCGTCGTCGTCGTCGTCGTCGTCGTCGTCGTCGTCGTCGTCGTCGTCGTCGTCGTCGTCGTCGTCGTCTTCGTCGTTTCGTCGTCGTCGTCGGTTCAAGAGGGCACTTGGGGCAACTTTGTGCGAAACGATCTGCGGAGGGCCGCGAGCAGGCGATCAGTCATGTTCCCAATCAACTTCCCAGAGAGCTCTCCTGTAGCATGATGGTACTTCGAAGCCTCCAGAGACTCGCGGGCCCATGATGAACCATGTCCCTGGAAGGCTTTCTGGGGACATGGTTTGTTGGGGTGTGTCGGGGGGTCTCGTGAGCGTTCCCTGGCGGCCCCTTCGGGATCTCTGGGAACTCTCGGGCCCATGATGAACCATGCCTCCAGAAGGTGTTCTGGGGACATGACTTCTTAGGGTGTGTTGGAGGGCCTCTTGGGCGTTCCCTGGGAGCCCCTTGGGGGTCTCTTGGGGCTTCCTGGGGGCCTCTTGGGCGCCTCAGGGGGCTTCGTGGGAGCCTCTTGGTGGCCTCTGGGGGCCTCCAGGCGGCCTCTAGGGCCAGAGACCTCGAAATATCGGTTGGCGGTCCCCCTCTGGGCCCTCTCTTGGGGAGCTCTTGGGGCACAGTTGGGTTGTCTGGGGAGCCTCCTGGGCCGTCTTGGGGCCCTCTTCGGGGCCTCGTGGCCCATCTTGGAGCGATCTGAAGGGCCTCCGAGCGAGGCCGTGAGGGAGCGCTAGGAAGCGGGGGAAGCAAGAACGCCTAAATCCTTCAGGAACCATCGGAACATTAGTGAAGCTTGCCTTCCAGGGCCCTCTTGGGGAGCCTCTTGAGTCCGTCCTGGAGCGTCTTGGAGTCCTCGTTGGCTGTCTTGAGGGCAGCTTGGGCGTCTTCGGGGCCTCGTGGGACCGTCTTGGGCCCTCTCGGGACCCCCTTAGCATGTCGTGGCCTGCTTCGGGGCGGGCTCGGGCCGCCTCAGGAGCTCTGGACCCCCACCGCAAAACCTGGTGGGCACCGATGGGGGGAACAGGCAGCGGCCCGCCCCCCCACCGGGCCTACTCCGAGATAGAGAATCATGTTCCTGGGAAGCTTTCCAGGAGCATGATTTGTTCGGCTCTCTAAGAGGGGGGCCTCTGGGGGCTTACCGAGGGGCGCCTTTTGGCCTTATCGGCAAGCCTATTGGAAACATGGTTGAGGCGGTGGGCGGAAGCCCAAGGAATCATGTTCCCGGAAAGCTATCTGGGAAATACGATTTACCGAAGCGTCTTGTGGGCCCGCAGGGGGCTTCCCTGGGGGCCCTTGAGGGCCTATTGGGGCTTCCGGAGGGCCTCTTGGGAGCCTCACGGGGCTTCTCGGGAGCCTCTTGATGGCCTCCGGGGGTGTCCTAGGAGCCTCTCAGGCCGGAGATTCTGAAATGTCGCGCTCTTCGGGCCCTCTTGGGTCACTCTTGGGGCTCTCTTGGGCCGCTCTCGAGGCCCTCTTGACTTATCTGGGGAGCCTCCTGGGCCGTCTCTGGGCTTTCTTGGGAGCCTCTTCGGCCGTCTTGGAGCGATCTGAAGGGCCTCTCACGCGGTCCGGGACCGTGGGGAAGCGGAACATGGGAGTGCGCAAGAATGCTTCAAAAACCATTGGAAAATATATGATTTTCGGCTTCCGGGGCCCTTTGGAGGGGCCTCTGGAGGCGCTCTTGCAACGTTTTGGCGGCGTCGTCGGCCGTCCTGAGGCCATCTTCGGCGTGTTCGGGGCCTCTGGGGGCTGTCTGTGGGCGTCCTGGGAACCAGGGAATCCTGTTCCCGGAGAGGCTTCCAGGAACATGATTTCGAACGAGGCCCTCTTGGGCCTCCCTGAGGCCGTCTTGGGGGCCTCCTGGGCTGGCTTTGGGGCCTCTTGGACCGTCTTGGGGGGGGTCCGTCAGCCCCACAGGACGACTCTTTTGGGCCGTCTTGGGCCCTCTTGGGTCTCTCGTGGGCTGTCTTGGAGCTCCTCGGGGGCGTCTGGGGCACTGCGAAGACGAAGCAAGGGAGTATGCTGAATATGTACGTTTTACTTCGGGGAC